AAAAGACTTTTTTTTCGTTTTATTTTTCTTTTGAAAAAGACAAAGAGAAATCATTTCTCACTCTATAAGTCTCGAGAAAGATCACTATAGCAAAATTTAGAAAACCTCATCTTGTGTTAATTATGCCCAATAAGTAATAACAATTCATTTTATTGGTCCTCCATCATCAATTATATAAAACAAATTAAACAATATTTCCTCAAAGACTCACGGCAAAGGGAACAAGCGAGTAATGAGCTTAACACGATCGCCATAATACTTGAGTACTTCCTTGAGGGGCGGCCATGAATTTCGGCTATCGGGGCAAACCGGGTCGAAAAATGCCTCTATAAGTATCTGACCCGCCTTCAGACTTTTGTCCCCATACCATAGCCCGTTTTGACCCGCAATTGGAGATAACAAACATAATAACAATAACAGAACAACACTTAATTTTTTGCTTCCCAATCCCATATTTATTTCTCTTTTTACCCCAACAAATTAATTATCTCTATTCTTTTTTCCTCTTAATGTGATGGAAAAACAGTCACACGGTATACCCTAACAAGTGGCACTGCAATGAAAATTAAGTAGGGGAACGCGGATATTTAACCATGTTGTCTACATCTTTTTTCCTTCAAAAAACAAAAGGTCTATTTGATAATTGTGAAAGATTACGATAGATAATTATGAAAGATTGACCATGGGTTATGGAACAACTCGAGCTTGATTCGGTCTAAAAAGCAAAATATATCTTTTTTGAAAAATGAACATTGCTTTATGCGGTTCGAGCCAATCAAATTGCGGTCATGGAGTGGGGGGTGGGGTAATTTCTTTGAATTTTTACTATTTTCGGAGGAATCTTTACAATATTGCTACATGGTTTTCCGTGATTTTGTCTGTATTATTATTCATGACTTTTTGAGCTGCGGTAGAATTGTACAGTTTCGTTTCTATTGACCATATAATTCGATAAGATAACTTGTTTGAAAATGTAATCGGAGAGCATCTCAAATAGTTCGTATTATTTCATTGTCATGTGGCATAATATATTTTATATCACATTCAAAATGCCTAGAAATATTTCTAAACATCCTCTATTATTATATTAATATTAACTAATATGTAACTCGTGAAAGCACATTAACTTTATTAGTTGACCAGTAGACGCGATGTCTTTAAATTATTCTGCCTTTTTGTGTAAATGGTGAATATAGTCATATACTTCACACAGGATTCTCCCTAACATATTTCAATTATCGTTATTATGTCCATTTATGACCTTGGACAAGGCCTAATTCTGTGAGAGGGTTTAAAATCGAGACTCAAACAATTCTTTCGAAGCGGCCCCACTTCTCTCTCACATAGGTGATTTTTAATTAAAAGTAACTCGCACTACCTGCCTATACAAGAATCACTAAAAGTCCTATGTTTATCCTACTCATCGCGGGTATCACTGTTTAAGAGTAGACAATTTGATTTCCTTGAGCCCAATATATCAATTTGTCCATCTTCCTTCCATTTCATATCTCAATCCAAATCTGCAAGAAATAATACACCAAGATTTAACGTGAAAAACCTCCAATGTAGAGGAAAAACCACGGGATAACCTCCGAACAATTCCACTATATTTTCAAGATAATTACAATATCTTTTCACACTCCCTTACACTATAAATGTAAAATATAGTGACCCAGTGAAATCCCACTCCTATTCAATTATTACAAACAAGGATTTTCTTTTGTCATTCTTGAGTTGCTGTGACATTATTATTCACCATTTCACGTTGGTGTTTTAATTTACACCTTCCGCATTTGCGCATCTGAGCCCAACAAGCACAGACCCCAGAGTTCATCACTTCATCTCTCTCTCACGGGTCAAGGTAGCACATACACCCACTAATTGTCACACACGACACCTCAATTATTTTTCAAATCTTCCCCAAATTCTCTTCATTCCCAAGGTGCAAGAAGTGCGGAGATGTGGGATTGGCGGCGACTGGAGGCGATTTGCAGTGGATCTGAGAGGCCAACGATGCTGCGAGGCCCGCGATTGGTGGCGTGAGAGGGACCTTCGGGCTCTGTTTGTAAGCCCGATCTGGTTAGTCAACATTCAACCGGTCACGGCTGTGGCTCGTCAATACCCATACCCGACTGCACTTTTGTTGTCCGGCCTGAGGAGCTGACCGGCAAGGAGGAGCATGGACAGCTACAATTCCGGTCACCGATAACCGAACCGATCCAACCGTTAGATTTTCGGTTTGAAACCGAACCGAACCATAAACTTCGGTTCGGTTTTCGGTTTACATGTTGGATAGACCGAAATTTCGGTCAGTGGTTCGGTTTTAACCGATTGAACAACTCTACTAAATATGCATTTCGTATGAACTAAACATGCATCATAAATTAACTGAATATGCATCATTATATATTTAATTTAAATATTATTATGCACTATGAATGAACTAAACATGCATCATGTATAAATTTAATTTAAATATAACAAATATGCATCAAAGATTAACTAAATATGCATTTTGTATGAACTAAATACATAAAAGCAAATAAACTAAATATGCATTAATGATATAATAAAAAAAACTCGTGGGCCGTAGTGCAGTTTTTCAAATCTATATATATAATTACTGGCTGTTATCATTTAATAAAACCTATTTAATTTTATCAATGTGGCACTATAACCATTTCTCTCCAAAAGCCGTTACTTTTGGTTTATTTAACTTTTTATTTAGTTATTAGATAATCAACACACTAATCACTTCAAAATTACAAAAATCATTTTAAACTTTTGATTACTGATACTTGACCATATAATGTGTTGACCGTATAATGTGATTAGATCAATAGATGTTATTATTGTGGTTACATTCATTTTTTTTTTCAAAAATAAAAAATATATTTGTAATTCTTAAATAAATAATAAAATAATTAAAAAAATACATACCAAAATATACGTTTCATCCAATTGATAAACACAATTTAAAAAAATAAAATATTCATGTTCTTTTAATTGTAAATTTGGCCTACAAAAAATGTGAAAGAAAAATCATTAATCATTATATAGATACAAATAACTCACAATACTGTATTTACATCTGTGCAAATGCACAGGGTCGAATGCTAGTATATATAATTACTAGATGATGCATTTAATAAAATATTTAATAAAACTTATTTTTATTTCCCTCCAAAAGGAGTTACATTTTCTTTAATTAATTAATCACTAATCTGCTAAAACCGTTACACCTTAATATATAGATTTTTATTATTTATTTTTTTGATCAGTTAATAAATTAATTCTAAATTTGGTAGCAAAATATTCAAATGTGAACGGCTAATGTTGGAACTTAAAGTTGATTGACACATTGCTGTAACCGCTTTATTTGGTTGCATTGTTGAAGAAAAAATATGATTGGAACATTTTTTTTTTCTAAATATCAGAAACACCAATAATTTTTTTTATTTATGTTAATTATCTTAATGTATGCCACAAATATATAAATTATTTTATTCATGTAACTAATGTAAACGTTGCATGGTTACAATAAAATTTAAATCTCAACTAATTTTGAATGATAAAAATAACTAAAGAAAAAGTAGTAATTTTTATATGATAGAAGTACGTGTCTAATAAATAAATACAAACAAAAACGTGTTTTATATCTGTGCAAATGCACAGGATCAAATACTAGTTATAAATAAATTAGATATTAGACCCCAAGGATCAAATTACAATCTCAATATCTAAAATTGCAAAACAGCCCTCTTAATAAGTTGTCTAATTTTCAAAATTATTGCCTGGCAGCCCCCAAATCTCCAACACCAAAATCTGAAAATTGAACACGTCCGTCGCCTTCACCCCAACGACCTCGCGGAACTTCATCATCAACCCCACGACCGTCGCGGCACACTCGCTCTACGATTGTGCTCTTCAATTCCGAATTTGAGTCACAATAACTTTAGGATTGGAGATTGTAGAAATCTTAGGCAATGTCGATATATCTAGTGAATATTTGAATCAACGGCGGCCATGGCTACCCGCGACATTTGGGGCTGGGAGAGGTTCGTTTTGGGAGGGGATGGGTTGTGGTCGGGTGGGGTTGAGAGAGGTCCGTCATGTGCGTGGAGACCGACGATTCTGAGGGTTCATAAGGGTTCTTCACCAACAGCGGGCTCGTTGCAGAATGCTGCCAGAGGTCTTCGACGGCGAGGACTAACGATTAACGGCGAAATCCGTTTCTGGCGAGCTGTTGACAACTGCCGGTCAACTCCCGGCTGTCGGCGGTCAATGGTCGGTCAACAAATTTAATTATTATGTAAATAATTTAATATGATAATAATTATTATTATTATTATTTAAATAATTTTAATATAATAATAATTATTTTTATTATTTAATTAATGTATATTTTAATTGATTAATATGAGTCATTGATCTACACAAAATTAAAGGATAAGATTGAGTCTCACGTACTCATATTAAGGAGTGTCCTCATTTGATTCATCTCCTATATATATTTTTTATTGATGTTATCTGTGCTACAATGTATCGAAATCTACATATAAAGAGAATATACGATTTACTAAAAATACTAGCAAAAGAAATTTTCAACATTTAATACCTACCCTTCTTTAGAAATTTTTTTACTTTATGCATTAATTGCTTCCATATAAAAATTTCAAATCATATCAAATTGAATATGATTAAAAAAAAATAACCTTGAAAGTATTTATTAATATTTTGCAATAATATCATTGATATCCATCATAATAAACTACAAATTGATTTTTCCGTGATTCATGTTGATAATATTTTTAGTCGAGATAAACATGAAAAAAATTCTAAGTTCTAACCATATTTTTTTTTTCATAAATATTGACTTTTCATGCTAAACTATTATGAAAAATCTGTTGGGTTCGCCAGTACCGTACGGGCTGTATGCAGCGGAATTTAAAATTTTTTAAAGTAAGTATTTATCGAATAAATACAACACCCGTACATACTAATTGCGAATTAACTGATCGTCATCTTTAAAACATGCATCATATACAAATTTTGATTTGTTACTATAAAGTAAATACTAGTAAAAATATTTACCGAATGTCTTGAACTCCTTCACTATTGATGATGGATGAGGGAATCGATTCCCGGTTGTAACTTCAACGACTTGAGTTTACTCGCTATAGGAATCCAAGTGTCTTCCCTCTAAACGTATCCACCCTATGAAGCCCGGTTCCGACGACTTTCCTTCGCTAGTAGAAAAGACTCGGTTTTCTTGTATAGGAATATTTATGAATTTTATTTGGGAATTTTAAGAACTCTTTCTTGAAGTTTTATGAAGAACACTTTCTTCTCTTTCTAACACTTAGAAATTTAGGATCAAAAACTTCACTTAAATGCAAAACCATTTTGCATATATTTATACTAAACATTTTAGCATAAAATAATCAACATTTAGTAATATTAAATAAAATCAAATTTTATTTAAATAGTATTTACTAACTTTTGACTTTGAAAATAATAAGATATGTTAAGTAGTTCAAACAACCATCAACAACCATTTTATTATAATCATATTTATTATTTTAATCCTTAAATCATATTTAAAGATATAAA